GGACCCAAAGGAGACGTCCCCGTCAATTTCGGCGTAGCCCTGTCGGTGATTCGACAATATGTTCAGCAGTGAGGTACAGCCTGCGCCCGGATTACCCAAGACGAGAAGCATTTCTGGAGAACTGTCAGCATCATTTGGTTCGCGCTTGATGGATAGGCGCGACATACCTCCAGGCTTGACACATCCATACGAGTTGTCGATGATTGTCTTCATTGGCGCACCCTTTCCCCTATTCCCGAACGGATTCAGCTGCGACAGCACGTTCTCGTTGAAGACGGCATCGTTGCTGATACCCTTGACTGTGAGATTCTTCCATGTCACACCCAACTTCCGGGCTTTGCCGCCATTAGCTTCGTCACGATCCCTGAGTACTCTGACTTCTTGCGAGATAGGCCATGTTTCGCTGTGGATGGGTGCACTCTTGGAAGTGGGTAAGTAGTCTTGATCGACGCGCTCGGTGCTGTACCCAGAACTAGGAGTCGTTGATTGCATTTGCAGTGCAAATTTGTGTATAGTAGGTACGTGAATCGATTGGAGGCCAACTGCAACAACAGGAAGTTTGGTGTTGGCGGCTGAAAAGACAACGGAGTGACGACTGGATGGTATGGACCAGAGAAACTGCAGGACCGGTAGTCCATATAGTCAAGTACCAAATTTGCTTATCTACATCATTTCTTCCATAGATCTGAAGCCACTCCGTGCGCCATCTGGCAAAGCTCTTGGCCGGAGAGAGGTCGAACCGCATAATCTGTTGTGGTGGAGGGCGTGCTGCAGTACGGCCGTAAGGCCTGGGTCGAAGACACGGCCGTACCCTTGCGCCTCTTCGGGCCGTCACATATGCCCACCAGAGTCGGAGGATCAACGCGCCGCCAGACGCCTGGCTCCGACTCCGTTCCATAACAGATTTGAAATATAACCGCGAAGACCCGATCGCTTACCTGACTGCTGTTGTTTACTGATACATCTGTGGTTATTGTGTTCTTAGTCATGAGGAATTCGCCGAGGACGTCAGCTTGGATTTGGTCAAACAGCAATCTTTTGCGGATGTTTCTTGTGCGGTTGACATGTACTCGTAGCGATGCGCCTGTATTGGAAAACATGTTACAACCTTGAATGCCATCGCTTCTCGGATGCTTCTCGGATGCTTCTCAAGTGCATCCCATGTACGTCAGACCGTATTGCGCAAGGCTGGATACGTTTGGACCTCTCGGTGACCTTATAAGTGTTTCCGCGCATGTATGCATCGTTATTGTGTGGGCTATAAGGTCGTAGACAAACCGTGCTGGCAAGCCGGAAGACAGAACGACTCGAAGATCGATGACATCATGTGATGATCGCCAATGATGATGACCTCGGCCCACGCTAACCAAGAGACACCCCAAACTTCCGAGAGCCTACGTTAACGTTGGATTATATATTTTGCATATTTCTATCTTGATGTAGGCTGCAGACCTGTTCAAGCTACTCCTTGTATGAGGTGGACCCACATAACACGCCTGAACAGCTGCGAATACCGCTTAGCTTGTCGGCGCACAAACGATGCGCAATCCGCGTCACATAGGCGCCGAGATATATGGTAGGTAAGAACGCCCAGAAATTGGATCCCACGATTTGAGTGTCCGTGAATCAAGACCAGACGGTTGCAGCAATGCTTAGCTGTATGATTTGAAAGTAGCTGACGCGAAGTTTGACCCTAGTCGAGCAAAGATGTTCTCCATCGGGCAAACAGGTACCGCGAGTGGAAAGAATGGAAGAAAGACTACGTAGCGTGGTGATATGAGAGAGCTACGAGCTTCTCCAGATCGGCTTACAGTATGCCTTATCGTGTCGCCATACAACCAACTCTTTTACTTCTTTATTCTCTCGCTTCGCCGAACGGGCTTTGCAAGGTTGTATATCACCAACGAGCATCGTAAGCATGTAGCACGATACGGTCCACGGAACATCCAGTCAAAAGCTGAATAAGGTTTAGTCTCCGAAGCCGACCACACGATCTCTCCACTGCGTGACATGCCTCTGTGCATTACTGGCGCAGAGCGAAGTTTGACGGAAGAGGCTTAGTCTCCGAAGATTAAGGCCCCCAGCTAACCGTGTTTCGAACTCGCGCTTTTGAGGGCTTGACCTTGACGCATGCCAGAATTGCGAGATGATCTCGTGCGCCTCTAGGCTGCTCGTTGGGCAACCATGTATATCACGTGCCAAACCATACGGTCAAGGTTGTAAGTAGCATACGAAGAATGCGCAAGTGCCTGTCAACTTGCGGTTGTATCCGGTTACCAAGGTGTCTGAGAATTTGCGAGATCATGCGGTACTCAGAGCCTCTTCCCATCGCTGTCGGAACTGTCCCTCTCCGCGCTGTATCTTGTACCAGAGCACTACTTCCAAATACGAACGAACCTCTACCCATGTATATAGTGCTAGATCATGAGCAAGAGTCGTGGCGTATGCACTGAACCAGCCAGATGTATCTGTGTCCTGCGATGCAACCATACCGATGGACAATACCCACAAGGCGATTTCAGCGTTTGCAGTCGCGAATGTAGGCATTAAGTCCTCGATATATCTCTTGAGTTCGATGACTAAGGTGGACTGTAGATGCGCATGCGAGAAGTATGTCGGTCCATGAATGATGAGCATGTATAATGCTATTGCGTATCGGATGCATTGGGAATTCGAACATGAGTTCGAGTATTTGAGTTGTGATTTCGATGGTGACCAGGAAAGTAATTTGTGCAAGACGAAGCATGTTAAGTCATGCAGATGAGTAGTTGAGAGCTCTTGCTGGCGTGATACGTGGAACACATGTCGAAGCCGCGTGAATACATCGCCGATTGTGGGATCCATGTCGAGTTCCGAAAGGCCGAGTGAAGCCTGGTCTTGAGAAGACGCTGGTAAATCCAACCATTTCGATATCGGGGCTATTCCGTCTCCAATATCCAGATGATCTTGGACGCTAAATTGCGGACTTTGCGTCAGTATCAATGAGACCCTGGATTAGAGGATTAGTAGAGCGACCGTAGATAGCGGACGATGAGTGACATGATTACCACGTGACCATTCGCGCTGTAAGGGGGCTTGTGAGTTTCAAAAGATGTATGCCGCCTCGCATTCGCACCATCTTCTTCACGCCATCGATGTGCATGTTACCGATCGTCAAATTGCCTTTGCCAAACTATAATTTCAGATGTCAGCGTATCAAATGAAGGGGCCCCAATGTTCAGAAGATCATCATACCTCTATGGCAGCAAGCGTTACGACCGAGTCCATGGTTTCGTCCTCATAAGCCTGAAGCGGGTCTTCAACTCGTCGCCGGACTAATGAAATGGAGTCTGCCATGAGAACCTCAGAGTTGTCGAATCCATTCTGAGCTCTCATCTCTATGTCCAACGACGCTGTCTGGAGGCTGACGTGGAACAAAGCGGAGTCATGTAGCGCAAGTGGCCACCATGACACAACGAAAGGGTTTGACATTGCGTTGAGATCCAATGGATAATACTGGAAGGCGATGTTTGATAAGACTATGGCGTATCAGTAAGCAGGGTAGTTGCAAGAACCTTCAGCAGGGAGGGATTCTTGACAATATACAAAACTAAGGGGGTCATGGTAGTTTTGCGAAGTTGTCAGCGCATCCGGTGCGGCTTTTGGTACGTACAATGAATCATGAGTTGCTGAACGCGAGCCCGGGGTAGTCTTGTGGCTGGGTAAGTGTCGAACGGGTCGAAGGCCTTATTTGCAGGATGGTTCCACAGTGCAGGTTTTTGGTTTCCATCCAACACAGGCGAGGTACTTGTGTCATTACGTATGCTCCGGGAAGTATAATTAGAAGGTACAGTCTCGGTGGACGACGAGGTAAGTGGCTCGTTTGCGTAGACACAGCTGGCTTTCCGTTTTCGACAGCGTGAGCATGTGGGTGTGCGTAGATCGCAGCTCAATTTCGATCTCGCACAAGCATCGCACGATCTCCTGAGCGTCCTACGCATTGTGAGGTACTCTCCGGAGGTTCAGGCATGACCTTTGTCTGTGATGAGGGGATGGAGTGCTGCGCATGCGGGAAGACGCGGGTCGCCCTCGCTTACATTAGCGTCGACAAGGGTTGGTGTGATGGGCTGAGCTCGTGTGCCTGTCATCAACGCCATTCTCCACCATCGGAAAATGAACTCTCTACGTGAGTCAGGCAACGCCTCCTTCTCAAAATCTCTCGTTGCCGTGGCCGGTTTGTACTTCGGCAAGTCGCATATTTGTAGCCAGAGCGGTCGTATTTGAACAGCTCCTCACCTTGCAAAGGACTTTGGTTCATCTATGAGCTACTAAGCCGTTCACCTATGCATATTCGGCACTACAAGACAGCGGCGTGACCAGGGCATGGATCTCAGCACATTGCTTACAACATAAAGTCCTTCCCTTATTTCCAAAACACGAGGATGCTCTTTACGCGAGAACACTCTTCGTAGACGCAATTTACACGTCGACCCCAGAGTAGTCAACCGCGATCCCGATCGCCACCCAGTCATATGCACTGTAGATCTGGCCCTTCCAGAAGTCTGACCCTGCTCGTTCTACGATATTGCTGAGAAGCCCAGAATAGCCCGATCGCCCACCAAGATTGCTATCGTTCTCGTTGGTGGTGCCGGAGACAAGGGTCATAAGACCTGGATCGCGGCTCGCTTAATCTGGGTAAATGCCAATGGTATGTGGTCGAGAGCGGACGGAACGGCTATTGGATATTGGGCATAAAGGGACGACAAAGTGCTATACGGAGTCCATAATTCGTGATTGTCTGGGAGGTATGCAGATCTCGTGGGAAATTCTGAGGCGGCATCGGTCTTTTCGAAAACTATTTCGGTATAAGAGCTCAGGATCGCGCTCGTTTTGAGAAGATGTTTGAGATACGTATTCTAACCTTATACTAAGTCATTACCTTTCGCTCGACACAAGTGCCGCACTCTAGACAACATCGTAGTCTTGTTACATCTGGCATCACTCCGCCGTTACCACCAACGATGCGTTCCCTCCTTCCCCTCGTCGTCCTTCCACTCCTAGCCCTCGCGGCCCCACCAACTTCTCCAACAATAACGCGGCTCGTTTTCTCGGGCTCAGGATGTCCTAATGACTCTGGTTCCGTGAAGTCTGACACCGCAACCATCGGTGACAGCGCCGGCGTCTCCTTCACGCAACTCAAAGGCGACACAACAGATAACTGTGCTGTACACATTCAGTCAGCTGGAGCGAGCGAAGGCTGGCAAGTTGCGGTTCGACAAGTGGACTACGTGGGCGATGTGAATTTGAAGGGAAACAGCGGACTGGATACATATACCCAGGTCTTCTGGAGTGAAAATGCTGGAAATACTGTGAATAGTCATCATATCAAGGCTGAATGGAGAAACGCTGACGATATACAGGGCGTGCTCACAGGTGGTCTCGCATGTGCTGGCCCAGAGATCAAAGACTACATTACTGTGCGGAGCAGCACCGCGGATCTGAAGTGGTCAAAGTGTACTGGCGCAGATGGCAATCCTGGTATCTTGAACGTCAACTTTAGGCCAGTCGTTCAGGGGGACTTTGGTACATATGACTTCAAACATGCTGCGTGGAAGTTGGAATGGCGGAGATGCTAGAGTGGTATGAAGGTCTGCTTTTGAAGGAGACTAGAGAAGCGTGTGTACAACAAAACTCGGTGCATAAAATGGAAACAGAATGTGAATAAGCGCTCTTGGACTTCTTCTCATACCTCCGTGGACAACAGCCTCTCTGTTCTTGCCCAACTGCGTTGCTAACTACGACCATGCTGAAGCATTCACTAGAACGTACCTAGGTATGCTGCATACGCAGACTAGACAGTGATATCAGCTTGCCGATGACGCTATTACCTCAAGAGAAAATGTGAGCATGGGGAAGTTGAAGTCAGTATCCCCCTCCCCAGTCTCGGTTGGTGCGTCTTCCGCTGAGTGAGCTGATGTAGAGTGGCCTGGGATCAGGTATACCAATACTCGTCGGGTATCACTTCGCGCTCTGCATCGTTGACGTATCTGAGGGGCGCGATATATTCCCCGAGGGACATGGCACGATGTAGACGCCGGCCGGTTGACCAGCTTCTAAAGGACGCGTTGAGCTGGCTAATGCAGGTAAACAGATCGCGAGAACGCAAGGGGCCAGACAGGATTAGATGAACAACCGACGCAGAAGGTTGGAGTTTGAAGCTCAGTGCCGTACGCTTGCTTGTTTTAGGTGCTGCTAAGGGTGGCTGTAGGATGCCAGTAGGAAAGCGCAGGTGGCGCTGCTGTCATCAGGCGGCGTAGCTAGAAGCGCCGCGGTTGCACTTGCCATGACACGCATCGACCCAGGAAGACGATCATAGCAGCCGCGGGTGTCGATGCAAGCCGAGGACACCTAGAGCAAATTCGGTAGATAGATGGACTGCAGCGGCGAAGATAGGTGTGGCTACGCGCGACACCGACGCGTCTAGCGCGATCTCGGGATGCTCGGGGTGAACCAGCCGATCAACGTCATCCTGTCAAGGCCAACGAGGGCTTCATCACTGCCGTCACCCTTCATACCTAGGTCTCTTCCCAACGACATTTCGGAATAAATCCGTGGAGAAGGCAAGTCATGATTGAAGGGAGTGCCTATATACAGCATGGCAGGCAATGATCCACAACCTTGGAAGCTCCGCACTGAGCGGAATTCCGCAACTATGCCCAGGTGCCAGTCATTTGTGAACATATGCCAGGGCGTACATAACGCCTCATGCAGCAACCCAACCGTCTTACGTAGGCCTAGCAAGTCAGATTATCGACGAGCAAGAACGGACGCGTGGTAGTGACTTGCGGCCATTATCGCATCAGGCTCCCATACTTTAGAGGCTCTCTGATACTGGTACACAATATCAAATCAAACAGCAAACAGCCTCAAATATGGATCCTCGTACAGTCGGTACGGTATATCACCCGAATCCAAAGCCACCACTAACAAAACACCAAGACTTGTCTGCAGCAGCGCAAGATAGTTTCGCGATCTTTGTCAAGGACGAAGCCTTCTTCGCTCTCAGCTTTTACCTCGCAGGCAACAGCAATATCGAAGCTTGTGCGCCCATCCGCCAGAACCATGCATTTTTCCAACTCGAGCTGAACCAGCTTGAAAGCAGTCTTGGTACGTCGAAGCCAGCGTACATTGTTCTCCGCCGCGGTGACTCGCTCACGTTCATCACATACGTGCCATATCGCGCGAAGGATACCGTGCGAGACTTCCTCCTCCATTACAGACACGATGTTGTACGACAACTTGGCCCATCGCACATCTCAAGCTCGATAATATGTAAAGAGATCGCAGAGATTACAGACGCCCGATCGTGGGCAGAGCGAGATGCAGCTGCTACCCTGATAGACGACATAAGCATTCAAGGCAATAATGTAGAGTCGTGTACGAGCGCCGCGCATGCTGGAGGCGCTCGGAAAGACCTAGGATACAGGAAGAACAAATGCCGCCTTTGCGATCGCCGCATGAAGAACAGAATATCGTCTGAAGCTCTTGCAGCGCTGAACGTGCTCCAAGGCCCTGGGGCAGCCGTGCAGATCGTAAGGCATTCATCTCAATAGTAGCTTTAAAGCGTGATAGCTGACCCGCCCCAGTCCGTTGACAGCACTACCGAGACCCTCAAGCTGAACTACATCAAGAACGAACTATCCCCGAAAGATGTTGCAGCAACCGTACCAACCGACAAGCCTAGTTTCACCTTCTACCGCCACCCCGCCACCCATCTACTCTACTTCATCTTTCACTCGCCCGACCATGCCACAGTGCAGCAACGTATGAAGCACACAATGGCCATACCTGGTCTCATCAATGTCCACGCTCAAGACCAAGACGTGCATGTAGACCAGAAGATTGAGATTCACGATCCGGACGACTTGGTCTTTGGAGCCAAAGACGGGCGCATCGGCAGGTTCAGAAGCGTGTATCTGAGGAACGGGTTTGACGGGACGGAGAGCACGTATGATGGTTTAGAAGCCGACAAAGCTTTTTACGACGGGATAAAGTAGCGCATCTTTGATACATGACTTTTGTAATTAACACTCTCATCGTTCATCTACCTTGATTCTACCACACTCGTCTCACTACTTTACCTCGTGAATGTACTCCGCTGGCTCGCCTCTTTCAGTTGAGCCTCTACGCTGACCAGCAAAGTTAAAGCCTTCTAGTACACATTGTGCGCACTGTAAGGTGACTGCGGAATTAACAGGAAGGTTTACACCAGCAAAGAGTAGTGGTGTCGAGGAACTGATTAGAAACTTACGCATACGCCCATATGATAAGGAAAGCAACCACACTTTCCTCCTCGCTGAAATCCATAATCCATATATGACACATATCAGATTTCAAGGAGGCGTATCAGTCTAAAGCGTGTTTCTCATGGCCTATGGTATCGTACAGTACAGTAGATGCGCGAATGCTGCACGAAAAGAAAGACAAAACGCCATCTGCTGAAATGCAAGTTTGTATGCCTTCACCCCAGTATGCAGCGGAGATGATGTGTGGAGGAAAAGAGTAGATAACACAGACATGACCGCGCCGATGCAGAAGTATAGACTAGAAAGCGATGAAATTGGAAATGAAAAGAACACCATGCAGAATGCTACCCCTTGTCTCAAAGTCAAGACGGGGAGAAACGTCTTTCCCTCCCAGCGCCGATGCAGGAATATGCGAAACACCTAGACCTAGATGGATGGACATGTCGTGTGGGGATATCGAAATGACACTACGCGTTTGTGTGCGAAAGGAAAGACCCGGTTATGCATCTACATCGTCTTCCTGATACGCCTCCTCTTCCGCCCGCTGTCGACTTCTACACTCGTGCTCATCGTATCCCTTGCACTCCGCGGGGTGGAAAACCGCTCACGGATGTGCTCACGGATGACCTTCTTGGTCTTGTCGCGCTTCAACTGGCGCTCCTCGTCTGGGTCGACGAAGCGATGAACAGTGCGGTGATCGCGTATGCGCTCTTCCTTGTCGTGCTTGCCCTCCTTCTCCGTCTTGGGCCAGGGGAAGCCGTACAGTTTCGAATGGCGCTCGCACCGTGGACATTCTTTACGCGTGTTGTAGCCGTCTTGTTGTACAAAGTCGACGTCGCATGTCTGGCAGTTGACCCACTTGGAGTACTTGGCTGACAGGAGAGCGTTCGATGTCATGTAGTCGCCCGGCTTTCGCGTGTTCTCGACATAGTCGGCTTCGTCTCCCTCTTCAATCGTGATAGGGGTACCAACGCGGTTCTGGACGTCGAAACGAGACTTTGAGCGTGTTGTTCGTAGTGTTGGGCGGGGTTTGCGCTTGACAATCTGCTGGTTCACATCGTCAAACTCGAAGCTCTCAGAAAGTTCGCTGAGATCGGACATGTATGCGTCTTCGTCTGCAGGCGGGGAGGGCCACGGGGCGTTTACCGTTGTCGTAGTGATCTCCTCCTTCACTATCGCCACTCCCATCGCTGGGCAATCTTGTATTGTCGTGGAGTCGACCTGCTCCTTGGGATCGCCGGTGTCGTGCGGGTGATCTTCGTCAATCGAGGTGGCATCTGTAGATGATTGAGTCGACTTGGGTGACGCTGCTGCTATGGACGATTGCGGGGATGCCTCTCGCGACGAGCTGGCCAAGTCCGTATTCACCGTGAGAACACCTTCGCTATGTTCATTGCGGACTTCTTGCGATATCTCTGGCGATGAGACCAAATTGGTCGCTGGATCCTCTATACTCGAAACCGGGAGCTCCTGACGCAGGGACGATGTGCTGTGTGCCTTCTTCAGCGTCGTCTTGCGCAGCAGATTCGATGTGGGCTGGTTGGATGGCGAAGTCTTCTGCTCAAATCTCGCTCGCTTTGGGGCAGGTGTTGAGTCACGCGAGGGGTCGTCGTCCGTTGAATCTTCCAGCGATCGCTTCTGAGAAATGGAGGCTGCATCGGAAGCGGTTTCGGCGGTCTGATCATGACCTGCACCCTCCACCTCTTCATCATCCCCTTCGTCGTTGTGGATGACTCGCTTCATAGGTGCCCAGCCGTTTTGCTGCAGGCTTTCGCAAGTATTGCACAAACACTCCTCATTATCGTCGCCGAAGTAGTCCTCGCCGTACGAAACTGTAATTTCTTCTCCTTCAAGAATCGGCTTCACTGCAACAATCTGCATGCCATCGTAGCCTTTGGTTGTGAGCTTTGCGTTGGCGTCGCAGTCGTGATTGGCGAAGCGCGCGGGACCTAGGAACAAGGAGCGCGTCTTCTTGCGGCTTGAAATAACCAGACTGAAGTCCTTGCTCTGCAGCTCTAGAGTTTTCTCTTGCTCTTCAGTCATAGCTACTTGCACGCCGGTCAAGTACTTGATTTCTTCGCGTGGGTTAATATCTCGTCGCGCGGTGATCGAGGCCTCGTGTTCCGTGATAATGTAGCGGTTGGTGGTGGTGACCTCGAATTGGCAGTCGGCCATGTAGATGTTGACGTATCTGCGGAGATGGCGCTTGAACTGATCCTGATCGCGCTCATCCTTCAGCGTGTTCATGAACCTGCGCAACCCCGGCAGTTGCAACAACTTGTGCACTGCCTCTGCAGGATCCCTCTCCCAGACTACGTGTCGTCGGATAACGTCGGCCACATCCTCCTCGTGCAATCCCCGCGAGCCTGTGAAGCGGCCACCTCTGTTCTTGCGAATCTTGGCCCAGAAGTAGAGTTTGTCCACGAGCGCGTCGGTGATGATGTCGTCGAAAGTGGCGAGCTTGTCCAGCGTCAGTTTCGTCGAGGGCGCCATGATGGCGCGATGGGGTGGATGAGTTCGAACGTGCCCGCGCAATCCGCCGCCGGTCGTGGAGATCGTAAGGAGTCGTAGGGTTTCGCGATTAAGGGGGAGGCTGGCAGGGCTGGCTGACGTTATGGTGGCCAGCAACGACAAGTCATTCACCGTCGCGTACAACAATAGCTGCACCACAAACGAAAAGAAAGAGCGTGCAGACGACGCGCGCAAGGGAAGGAGCGAGCGACGGCACGCACGGGGGATCCAGCACTCGCCCGATAGTTTACGGGAGTATGGACTCGACGGAACTAGCCCTGCAGGCTATCGAGACCCGCATGCGGCGCATGGGGTGAAGGGCTAAGCGAGCATCATCGGGGCCCCTGCCCATGTGCGGCTAAACTGCGGTGGCACGAGTCCAGCTTGCGACTTTGACAGCGACCAAGACACACACCCCCGACGTCAACACCACCACGCCGCGCGCATCGAGGCAGGCAGTCGAGACCAGGATATCGGGAGAAGCCACACAGGATGATTCAATTAAAGGTGTGCTGGGCCGGTCACGCGCGGCAGAGCAAGGACTGATGGATGCCCTTCTAGACCCTCGTAAATTGCATCGACAACTCGGGCGCCGCCATAGTCGAGTGCGTCAATGTCCTGCGATCGAAGCGCCCCGCGAAAGTTGGTATGTGCGCGAAACTCCAAGGCACGGCACGAAGCTGATGGAAGCAGGCGACCGCATAGTAGTGGTTGTAAAGAAACAGCGAAATTTCGGCCCGGAAACCGGCAACAGCGTCTCCATCAGCGCAGCGAACAAAGTACGGCGAGGCGACGTCCGACATGCAGTTGTGGTACGGACAGCGAAGAAGTGGCAGCGGCCGGACGGCAGCGTGGTCAAGTTCGACGACAACGCCTGCGTACTCATCAACAAGGCCGGAGAGCCCATCGGATCGAGAGTCAGTGGTGTTGTCGCGGCAGAACTGAGGCAGAAGCAGTGGTCCAAGATCCTATCGCTGGCGCCCATGCACGTATAACGGCTGGCATGTGGGTGGGATGAAAGATGCATTTTTTGGGAGTCTATGAGCGCTTTGGAATGTAACATTATGTGTATGCCACTACAATTGTACCCATGGGTATCTCAACGGCTGTTCCCTAAACTCCTCGCAGCAAATATGTGAGATTAAACGCCAGCTACATGCATTCCATGTCGTTGTTCTCTTAGTTATCAGACGGGCGTGAGACGTGACCGCATCCGGCGCACACGTAGTAAAGGGCCTGGACCGGTCAGAATGGCTTGCGAACATGCAGGAGAAACTTACCATGCCCGTCTCGGCGGTCCGCTGCTGCGACTGGAAGAAGACGGCTTCGTTCTCGCCGCACTCTGTGCATTGTTTCTGGATGCGCGGTAACTAGACGCAGGCACAGTCAGCGAGCACGCTCAAGAGCAAGCAAGCAACTGTACTGGTGGAAGACGCAGGAGGCGCTTTCAGGACGTGGGTTCGTCCCACATGTCCTCGTCAAAGTCGTCGTCGTAGTCTTCAAACATTTCATCCTCCTCGCGCATCTGCTGCTGGGGGCGCTCGGCTTGCGGGTCCTCGTCCTCGGCCTCGAGGGCAAAGCCAGGAGCCGATTCCTCGCCGCACTCCTGGCACATGATGGGCATGCCGCACATGGTGCAGCAGGGCATCTCCTCAGAGAGAGCGGCCTGGGCAGCTTGGGCATCGGACAGGGAGTAACCAACCGTGGGATCCTGAGCAACCTCGGCTGTGACACCAGCTGTGGCTCCGACTGTGGACGCGATTTCGTGGCGCATGACGCAGGATGAGGGCGCTTCTTCGGTGAAGTTGCATGTGCGGCAGGCGAAAAGCAGCTTGTTCTCGGACTTGTCTTCGCGGGGGAACAGCAGGTTGGAGCTGCGCGTGATTAGCCAGGCTTCGTGGTTGCAGAAGAGGCGACGCACCATTCTGAGCAGAAGCGGAAGAGAATGGGCTCCTTGCCGCCCTTGGAGCCGCCCATTTGCGCTGCTGGTGAAGCCATGCTGAGTGGACGTGAGGTCGTAAATCGTAGATGTGCGTGTGCGTGTGGATCGTCGTGACGGCTGTTATGCGCGTGTGAAGAGACAAAAGCGTCGAGGAAGCCTGCGCACAAAAGTTGGGTAGGTACAGAGACAGAGTCACGTCGGCGAGCGCGGGCCACCCGTCTTGATTCGCGCGGCTTCCGTTGCTGTAGCAGAGCCGCGTTCTTTGTTTGGCAGGCGCCCCCGCATTATCGACCTTGAGGCGCCGATCGCCCTGTCCACCGCCTGCAATTCTAGACGTCGCTCCACGCTGCACGCACAACTGCCCGTGCGGAGACTCCTATCAACCTCTGCACTGCTCGCCCTCCCCCTACCACAGCCTACTCCGTCCAGCGTCACGCATACATCGTCAGCAACCATGGTAAGCACTGCGCCCGTCGTCCCAGCCCACCTCGCACCCCCTCACGCATCCTAGTCGTCCGCCGAAACTGGTCTCCCCGAGGGATGGGAGGTGCGCCGCTCCAACACCAAAAACCTCCCATACTACTTCCACGCCCAGACGAAAGACTCGCGATGGGAGCCACCAGCTGGAACCGATCCGGACAAGCTCAAGGCATACATGGCCGCCAACCACAGCTCCAAGGGCGTTGCGCCCGCAGCCTTCGCGCCGACTGAAGGCAAGATCCGATGTGCCCATCTCCTCGTCAAGCATCGCGACAGCAGGCGTCCGGCTAGTTGGCGGGAGCCCAAGATTACGCGCTCGGTCGAGGACGCCCGGGAGATGATACGGGACTACCAGAAGCAAATACAGGCGTACGAGAGGGGACAGGAAGACGACACCGCCAAGTCTCTGTCTGAACTCGCGACGACCGAGTCAGACTGCAGCAGCGCTCGCAAGGGGGGCGATCTGTGAGTCTCTGCAGCGGGAGACGCGGCGGAAAACACTAACGTCATCAGGGGCTTCTTTGGCAAGGGCGACATGCAGAAGGAGTTCGAGCAGGCTGCCTTCGCCCTCAACAAGGGCGAGGTGAGCGATCTGGTCGAGACGGCATCGGGGGTGCACTTGATCCAAAGGTGGGACGAATGCCACAGGTCTCAGTATGATGCTAACCATACGCAACGCAGGTTGGAATAGTCGATGCGTCGCGCCAAAACTAGGGCAAACAAAGCGTCATGTACTGTGATGAGGGGTTTCCTGGGACGCGTGCGGGCTGTGCAGACGCGTCGTGGATACCCGCTCAACACCAAGACAATCATGGTAGTACTAGTAATACTACTATCATGAGACATGCATGTGAAGTCCAGGAGCGGGCGCAGCACGTTGGCCGTGTGTCGTGTGTGGTTGTGGTTGTTGTCTGTCTGCTAACATGATTACGTCCTTTGCAGCTCCCCCTTGGTCGATCTGCGTTGGTTAGGGACCGTACGTCGTTGCACGCGTGCTGACGACAAGCAGACCACAATCGAGAGGGCGATAGAGTTTGTGGGGCCGGAACCAGACGCCTTGAGATAAATTTTTCCCATCGCCCGCACACAGCCCACGGCGGCCAAATTCGCGCCCTGCTACAAAAGCGCGCACCAGGACATCGTCGTCGCATCCCGTCTCGCCGTACCGCTCTGCGCTTGGACAGAGACTTCGGCTAACGCGACTTCCCCCGCCAAAGCCATCGCTGCGCTACTGCAGTGAGTAGGCGCCGGCCTCCAAGTACCTCAGTCAGCTGACGTTCAGACTTGAAACCCGCATACTAAAGCCGTCTGGGAGCAGACCTCGAGCCGTCTCCCACTCACTTCGCCTCGCACTCGCACCGTTTCAGTGCGTGTGGCTGGTTTCGGCATCCCTCAGCCTGCGCCTCGCCCCCAAGCCAGCCCGGTTCCGGATCAGCCCGAGAAGACAAGGAAGCGGCGGCCCAGTGACGTATCATGTAAGTTGGCTGGTTTTATCCTTTTTTTGCATCAGCCCACCTCAGAAGACGAGGAGCAGCACCGTCGGGCGCAGGTTCTAGACATGCCCAGCAAGTTCGTTTTGGGAGCCTGCTGCAGCGCCGTAGTGTGGCGGGCATGCCGTGCAGCGACTGGGCGGCCATCATCCCGAGCGTCTGGGTGTCGTGCCCTAGCACCTTTTGCAAGGTCGGCGCACGCACAACGCTTTTCCCTGCGTCACAGTAGCCCGCAATTCGACTGTCAAGCTCCTGGGCATTTGGCCTCACCAACCACAGCGTTGCCGCCCCAAACCCTCCCTTCACCACCGCGCCGCTGTGCTTGCACGCCCACCCCGACCGCACCGCCCGTGCAGCTGCTCTCACTGTCCATTGACGTAGCTGCCCCGTCAGACTATATGGGAAAGTCCCGGGGCCGCACTTTCCCATTACCATCAGCTCACGCACCAACGCCGCCCGCAAAGTGCCCGCATACCCCTGCCGACTCCACACGGCGCCCTGTTTACTCCGCTAACACCTTCGATCACCAGCGCTTCCGCGATCTTTCACCCTTCCACCTCCACCACCTCACACAACCTTTTTGTCTAGAAGATTCCCGTCGTTCTCTACAAATATCACTCACGCTCCTTTGAGTCTTGACAGCGCCACTCACTGCAGTGCTCCCGCTACCCACTATCCTACTCCACCCTCCACTCTCCTTCGACCAAGACTCCACACAGACCTACTCAACCTACCTCGTTGCCGCTATGGCTGCTCCACTATCTCCCCACCCTGTCTACCACGACCCCATCCCAACATCCCGCCGTAACTCCAGTCGCAAGACCATCTCCTGCCTCTCACGCACTCCCTCCAACGTCGATGCCCCTCGCACTTTCTGCCCCAAGGACGGTGATGCATTCAGCTACGACCCCTCTCACCTCCGCCACTGGTACTGTCCCCAAGAGCTCTGGGACCGTCTTCCCAAGCAAGTCCAGTCCTGCCTCGGCGATGTTCAGCATGCGGGTGCCGCTGTTCTGACTGGTAAGTCCAATTACGCCTCAGGCACTTGATATCGTACTAACCGCAAATAGGCTTCGAGCGTCTCGACAAGCACCTCGACAACTTTGACGATAGTCAAGTCGACCCCAGGGCCACTGGAGACGAGCTTCTGGTCCACCTCGACGAGCTTCCGCCTCCAAAATTCCGCACAGTCAGCAACGCCAGCAGCGTCTTCCAGTCTGACACTTCCTCGCCTCTCACCAGCGCATCGTCCGCTTCTCAGTCAGGGAGCGCCTCTCCTTCCACTCCAGCCTTCTCTGTTTCTCAGATCATGTGCCCTGGTTCACCCATCTGCTTGGGTCCTTCGGAGCTCTCCCGCTCACGTGAGCGCTCCTTCTCTACGCCGCTTAGATCGCACGACGCCAAGTACGCCGCGGAGCTGTCGCACCTACGTACCGAGGCCCTGCCGCGTCTACGTCACAAGTCTTACAAGGTCGAGACTGAGTGGCAGGAGGCCAAGCGTGTCCCGGGCGCCATATCTGCAGATGACATCAACGCCTTCGAGAATTTCTGGGCCGAGAAGAAGTTGCTGATCCTCAGTCTCAATGAGCGGGGTAAGCGTCTTGCGAGTGCCGCTGGTCTTGCTACCACCGGACTCGGCTGGTGCGCCCCGTAGAGGCTAGTGAGGTGGATCTCCTCGACTTGGTCACTCGAAATGGTTCACTGAGCGCATCAGTTACGCGACATGGCGCAGCACCCCCAGTTACAGCCAGTCGACAACCATGAACTTCTTTTCTTTTTCCATTTCCTTGGAGTCCTGTTTCCTGGTTTCTGCTTCACTTCCTGTGCGTTACAAGCGAGGAGTTGGTCGGTCGGTATTTATTCATGTAGGCATCTACACCGCAGATCGGGAAGATCTACACTTGGAATGGACGTGCGTTCACGATAGATCTCATACACGCCCATGTCTTCACGACGGCGGTCTCACGAGAGATCCATTTTTGCCCATGGCGGCTGCTATGGGGCATTCTGGCGGGTTCAACCCGGCTCATCTTAGGCGTAAGGTCAGCTCAGCTCAAAAATAACGAATCATAACATCTACATGACGACTTTGTTTGTGCATATTCCTGCTTATCGGTGATGCGCGTCGCTTTCGTCATTGGTCACTTCCGAGGGATGCTGGCTTGATACCCTTATATTGTGATGCCCAACACCGGCCATATCGAGCCACAGGTGCATAAGTTGTGGCTGCCCAACATACACAAGTGAGTTCGACGCCTCTCGCCATCTCCGAGGAAAGCTGACAGGGCGCCGTGATATTGTCGACACGGGTCGTGCCAACTATGAGGTTGGTCATGTCGAGAGACGCAGCCAAGCCAAGGCAAGCGCAAGCCCGATGCTGCACGTTCCTCGGCACCGCAGCCTGCATCTGCCAGCAGCAGCCAACTCAGGCCGCCCCGCCCCTGCCACAGCAACGAGAGGGGGTGTGTCCGCGCCCGCGGATCGACATGTTTCACTACCCAGGCCCCAACCACGCGAAACAGGGCGTTCTGACCGCATTCTGGATCGGCTTTATGGGCGAAACGTGACGCGCCCTGCTTTAAAATAAAAAGAAGAAGAACACGACCAAATTTGGGTCCGTCGCAACGATTGGTCTGACCAGGCTAATATTGACCGAGACATACACACGTCCATACTATAGTAATGTTTCCGTGCCGTCTCTGCTTTGCTCACACATGGAGGACCAGGTGTTGCACATTCCTAATAAGCATCGTCGTCATCTGTATCAACTCGGGGCTGTTTGCCACGATCCAGACTGCCGTTGTTGTTGTTGATGAGGTTGGCCCTCCTCCCAAGCGGACTGGCACCAAAGTCACGCCTGATCGGGCTATCCCTGTCTTGAACGCCTGGTCTCCTGGTGGTGCCACGCCCTAGAATGTAAGAAGATTTAGTGTGCTGTACTGTACGTATCCCAAGAAACATCATGGTGGAATGATGACCATGATGATGATCATGATGAAAGGTGGGTGACGGGGGCTTTTTACTTACCGGCCCGGTCACGGATTCCTCCTGCTCCGCCGCCGCCGCCGCCTTGTTCATGTCGTATGCCTGACGACCGCATCGAAGGTCCTGGTCCGAGATCGAACTCATCAGACGATGTGTCCAAGTGGACTCGTCTACCTCCTCCACCTCGATTGCGTCCACCGCCCATCATCATGCCTCCGCGGCCTCCAACCCCCATGGCTTTGGCGTACATGGCCGCCATCTGATCCATATCCATATCCATGCCCATACCCATGCCCCCATTGTTGAACTGCCTGCCTGCTTTGGCCGCCCCTCGATGCGACAGGAAGGGGTGCCGCATACCTCCATTCTTGCCTAGGAGACCGCCGCCGGCAGATTGCATATACGGATTCCCCATGTTCATGTTTAGCCCCATGTCGTCCATTTCTGACAACATGTCGTTTTCGATGCCCCCTCCCATGCCCATGCCCATGCCCATGCCCATACCACCCATGCCATGATGCATCATACCCCGTTTACCACCCGTCACTGTTGGATCAGCCATGCCAGGTGGCATCCGACCCGTGGTGCCGTATGGATCACCGGACATCATGCCCATCTGCTGTGCCATTCGCGGATCCATATCCATGCCACCACCACCACCGCCATTGTTCATCATGAAAGCACGCTGGCCCATGTTCGGGCCGCCGAAAGGTTGTCTAGCGGGACTTTCGGAACTGTCACGCTGACGTCGTTGCTGTTGCTGACGACTGTCTTTCCTGAGATCTTGCAACGCTTCCAAGATGTCATCTTTGAGTGTGTCGAACTGGTCTTTGCGCTTCTTGTCCGCTTTCTCATCCGACTTTCTCTCCGTCTTCTTCTTTCTCCTTTTACTCTTTTCGTCTTTGCTACTGCTGCTGTCGCTTTCACTGCTGCTCTTTTTGCAGGCTGTGTGATCGCCGCAGTCTCGGCCCAGGTCGGTTTTCAGTACGTATCTGATCTCACCGCTAGTGCGGAGGTGGTCTTGTTCGTCTTCATTGGAGTCGCTGCCATGGTGCTGGGGATCGTTCTGGGCACGGTATAGTACGCGGTGGCTTTTCCGGCAGTTGCAGCCTGTGGTGCAGGTACAAGCATCAAGCCAGGCGTTGTCGCCCTCGATCCACTCTTTCCCCGATGGTCCAACTTTCTTGTGAAAAGGTTGACCGCGGTTCAAACGGGC